CACAGAAGATTCTAGAAAAAGGCCCAGAGGATTTAAGATCTCAGAAGACCTTCTGAGACCACCTTGTCTAACATTCATTTTACCAACAGGGAAACTGAGGCCTGACAAGTACAGCAACTTGCCAGAGGTACCGCACCATCCGATGCTGTTTGATTGGCTGCTTGTTTCATATTCTTTCTATATGCCCTCCACCTGTTCTTCAGGGATGGAGGAAATCAGCATGCTCCCTTCAATATGCAAAACCTGATCGTATTTTGTGAGCTCCTGTCTAAGAATAGTGCTTTCTGGGGATAGTGAGGCAGGAGGCAGGGACTTACCTCGACTTTCTGGATCATGATAACATTTGATGCATGTGGCTGTTGATTCCTCCCATCTACAGACTCAATGACAAGTTTTAACTGTCATGATTTCTTTTCTAACATATCTTTTGATTTCCCTTTCCCTTGCTTGCTAAGTTTTAGGATGAACCCTTAGAGAAGGATTTAGTATTCAATAGACAATGACCATAGCTTCCTATCTTACTTTCTCTGTCTTCCTTATTGAAGGCCAACTATGAATGAGAACTATGAATGCTGGAGAAAGGAATTGTCATGGTGCATGTTCATCAGTAACATAAAGAATTTTTCTTTTTCTTTTTTCCTTCCTCTTTTTTTTTTTTCCCAGAGAAGATGAGGATATCTGTTTTCCTCTTCTTTGACATTGCTATCACCCTTTATAGTTTACACAGTATGGGAGATATGGCTGGATCATTCCATAAGATCTTCCCATCCACACTGAAGGTGAAATTTCAGAATGAGTCGAAGCTTAAAAGGTCAAGTGGGCACTAGCACTAGGGAAAAGGTACCAGGGATCACACATCTTCCCACCCTAAACTCAGTCTGAGCTTTGTCCTTTTTCTCATATCCTCTAACTCTTCACAGAGGAGTTAAAAATGAAGCTCAGAGTCTACTGSGAAGGATGTGAAAGTAAAGACAAATCAGTAAACTTAGAATTGAATCGGCTACACACAAAAACATCTAATGTAACCGGACGAACACTGCTGGGCCCTTGAGCACAACACTTATCAGGTTGATGAGATATCATCATTGAAAACCTGATCTGGGGACCCCTCTTTTCATTCCTATTTCCTGTTGTTCTAAAGATGAAGCTTGGGAATAACAGGTGTCATCTGTTTTGAAGCATTAAGCAATTAAGTAATTACAGTAAACACACACACACACACACACACACACACACATATATATACACACTCACGCTTATAGTGGGGACTCTGAGAATTTTCCCTAGTCCAATATTTTTTGCTTCCCCAGACTTCATGGTGTGCTGCAGTTTATTCTCTCTTGTTTTACTTGTGTCATATAGAGGGCAGCTTGGGGCTAACATAATTTCCTGTTCCAGAAAAAGCCACTGTCTTTTATTAGGCAACGCTTCTTTCCAAGCACTGCAGTACCTCTCTCTCAAGTTCTCCTTAAGGAGTCACTGCAAATATCTGCAGAAATAGGAGCAATGATTATGCACATTTCTACCAAGGAAAAGAAACAAAGACATTGTATTTGGTGTAAAATTTCCCCAGATTCACACCTTCAATTTTCACAGCACAAAAAGKTTGATTTACTAGATTTTTCTTGCCAAAATCTTATAAAATCTCATATCACTTTAATGTTAAATTTTAAAGCTAGATAGAATATTACAATCTTTATCATAATATCTTATATAAAAGATAAGGGAAGGGAATTCAATTAGTTAGTAAGAGATCTGGGCTAGAGTCTAGTTTTACTGATTAGAAACTCAGTTCCCTAAACAAAATATAGCTACAATGCTTAGAAATTCCAAACTCAAATATTCACTGGAGAAAATTTAAGTGCTATGGCTACTCTAGGAAGTTTTAATCAGATGTTTTGATAAAGAAATTATTCATTTAAAATATTAACAAACTCACATATATTCAAATAAACTTTCACCACATACCGGAAGAAGTTATCCACATTACCTAGAGGTTTGCATGGGAGTCAAATATTATACAAAACTAAGGCCAAACCAGATCACCTTCATAAGGATAATGTATCAAAGCAAATTGTGAAATCTTAATTTGAGCTCATGAATTGGAAGTCTTTTCTACAAATGCTTGTATGTTCTCATGGTATGGATATGATAGGAGACTCAAGGAGTTGTGGGGAGCAAGGAAGCAGAGATTCAGAGAACTGTTATACACAAATCATGGTGATATTAATTTACATGGATTGCCTTGGAGGCGGATAGACTTGGATGCTCATGGAAATACTGTTTGAATTAATATCAGAGAGAGGTAAGAATCGATGCGCTAGAATGGCTTGATTGAGCACTTATGGGATGACAAAGGAAACACTACCATATAATCAAATACCAATGAGCAAGATCTGAGTCAAATTAGCTCTAGGATTTGCTTTACATTTTTTTAAAGATATACTGAAAGGAGAGTCCTTATTTCCTCTGTAACATATCACTAATTTAATTATTTTAAGTTGCTTATTTGATGAAGGGTATATGACTGGCATGTGCATATACATTTGGCCAGTAGTAGCACAGTGGCATTTTGGTTCTGTATGAGAAGAAACCTCAGATCCCTCCTTTTGCATAGTTTTCTCCTTTTATGGTGAGTACTTCATTTTTTTACATTGTAATAAAAAATCATTGATATTTTGCTGAACTCATATTTTATATTTTTGAATCAAACAAGTCCATCTTGTGATAGATTAATGCTACTTCCCTTTTACACTCATAGTCCAGCAGGTTTAAGATAAAGATGAGGTCAGTCTAGTGGAATGTGCTCAACTTTGATCAGATTTTAGTGTTAATTAATTTGCTAACTTATCTACAGCTTGAAGGACAATAGCTGTCACTCATCATCACTGTCATCATCATCACGTATTGCAAAAAAAATGTATACATCAGTAAGTCATTGACTATGAACATACATAACTTTCGCTGGGTACATCCTACTGATCAGTGGGCAGTCCTTGGATAGGTACAGACAGTGCTTCAAGGTAGATACCTTGGCTTAATGTGCAGAGCATTGATAGGGAAAGACATTCTGTTGAAATAAGATGAATAGGGTTTTACAGGGGTGTTTTTTGAGAGCAGATAGGAATAATACAGATTCAACAAACCCTTCTACCTAATGAGAGAATATCTTAGGATAGAAATCTACCAATCCTAATTGATGGTTCCCCTAAGGGTCTTCCTAATGTTAAGGGTAGTGGAGTAATCCCAAAGTATGGCAGTGATTTATCTCTGAGTCACAGGGGTCCAGGACATTTAAATTCCAGGCCAACTCATACAAATTGTCTCCCACTTGAGCCTATAGCAAGAAAAATGTTACTACAGGTTCTATTCCAAGTGATTTTCTTTCTTCATTCTAGTGAGCACTCACCTGCCAATCYCTTGCTCCCAGGAAAGGTGGACTTGAGAATTGTGAGCTTCTATCAAAGCCCTGTTTTCCTAAATTGAACCCTCAATTTAGTTTAAGGCCCATAAGGGGAATGCTCTTTCTCGTGAGTACCTGTATATTCCCTTAGGAGATTGGGCCTCATGTGGCATGTTATGTCATGATGAGAAGAAACGCCTCCTGATAGGATAGGTAGATTTCTTGTCTGAAGAACTTACCAGTCAAAGTAATGCTTGTCCACAAAGAGTAGGCTCTTGCACAACCAGATTGCTAAAGAACTGTAAGGCAAGAGGACTATTGATTCGGCACATAGGTGAAATGAAGTCAAGCTCATCAATACTGCTTTACAAAGTTGGCCCTGAATGCTATTCATTGCTGGGAGCAGCACTCTGAAGCATGGTTATTCATAGTAGATATTACTCATATTTGCTAGAATAGTCTAGTCAATGTTAGTAGCTGTCTACTAGTGGAAATCTGGTAGTACTATATTTGAAAAGAGAAGCTTGATTTCAAAGAGAGCCTGTGTACACTGTGTTCTCTCATCCTAGTGGATCCTAGAAGGGTGTCTTTTCAGGAGGCTTGGCATATTTTACTCAAAGGGTTTTCAGGTCTCCAGTATAGGAACATGGAAATCAGCTGGCACCTCCCCTCTATTACAGTGATCCATGACCTGTCTCCAAAAACTCCAGCCCGTGTTGCAGAGAGGTACCAGGCAGGGAAATGTTAGTGAATCTCACCAACCCACTTTCATTCCAAGGAAACCTAAAGGTCCCACCTTCAGCAGGTCCAGAACATAGAGATACATTGGTGCAGTCAAATGTATCCAAACTATAGAGATTTGGCCAGGGCCAGCCTGTTCCCATACCATGCTGCCAGGAAGAAGTTGACACCCGGGGCTGGGGTGGGGTGGGAGGGAGGGCAGAGGGGCACAGAGGAAGGTGAAGTCAATAATCTCCTCTCCATTTTGCTAGTGGTCTCTGGAAATCATACTTCTCCTTTCCAAACATTCTGACTCCTCTCAGGAGGCACTGAAGATCCCTTATGCTGCTTATTTAATTTCTAGAACCACCCAGAACAGAATTACATGAATATTATTTTGCATTAAAATCTGCCTTTCCTCTGAATCTGTGGCTAGAGGTGAGATTCAGGGGCAGGGGACAGGTATGGAGGGAAGAGAGTCCCCAGAACACTGGGTGATGGGATTCAGGATTATTTAATCACCACCATGTTGGTGATGGCCACACTCTATTGCTTATCAGAAACAGACTTAAAAGCCTTCTCCATAACTGGATTTGAAATTCTCCCCTCTGAGGAGGTGAAGGACTTAAATACAAGTGGGGTGCCAGCAGCCAGGCCATGGTATTCTGAAGGTACTGAAGACAGTCCCCATTAGATGCCACTCCCACCCCTTGCTTCTGTGAGGTGGTCTCCTGTCTGGGCTGCCTGTCTCCGTATACTCCCACCCACTCCAGGAAGGGTACAAGATCCCGTCCCCACACCCTGTTCTTCAGTCCTGGCCAGGTAGGCTCTGTACCTCTCCCCTCCCCTGCTGCAGAATGAGGTATCACACCAGGTAAAGAGGGACATGGAACACTTTTTAATGTCAAGTCAGAGACAACCCTTCCCTCCCCTATCCCCCAATCCCACTTTCCCTCATCACATCCAGAACCCCTCCCCGAGGCCGCTCTGGTTCCCAGACTTCGGGGGAGGAAAAAAAAGTTTACCTAAAAACTGCATTTTTCTTCTCTTTCATACACACTCACACAAAGGTGGGAAATTAAATAAAATCAACCAAGAGGATTAAATTCTCCAGTGGTCACAAAGGCATCAGGGATTCCCATAATGGGCTAAAGCAAGTGGTTACTGACGGTTTAGTTTGTTCAGTTGCTTGCTGTCTGTTAATGCCCCGAGGCGTGATGGAGAAGCGAGGCAACCTGGGACAAGAGGGCCTTCGCCTCAGAGAGCCACACCTGGAAAAATGCTGCGCCTGGTATTAGTTGTTTTGCTTTTCACTTTTTTATAAATGTCTCTGACGTGTAAATAACCCAAGAAAATAAAAAGGCAGGAGCTGATTACACAATTACCAGTAAACTCTATCATCTTTTAGAAGATCAACACACAGCTAACGCCATATACAGCATGCAGTAATGTCTGAGAAAGGACCCTGCTGAGAAACAAAATGGCTAGAACTCTAACAAAAAAAAATATATGTATATATATACTGTATAATATATGTCATCAAAGGAAGCATAGCCAACAAACCCAAGATACAGTGTGATCAACTTTCCATTTCTAAACAGTATGTAGATAGCATAGTATTGTCTGCATGAAATGCCAGAAAAGGAGGAATCTGTAGCGCTGGTGGAGAGGTTGGTTAAACTGGATGTGTTTTTTTTTTTTTTTTTTGGTGGATCTGCCAAATCCTCACCAGGTCCTTATTCCTGGTGTGTGGTCCACCTATTGTAAACCTAGTTAAGAGATACACTATTCATTTTATAATGTTTGACAAACACATTTCTCTTTACCCCTCTCATGTGTGTATATTTTAGTTTTGTCTTGTTTTTGCACTAATTCTAGACTCATATCAGAAAATATAATTAATAAAATTAATAAATGAATCAGAATCCCTTATTATCCATCATGTCCATGTAGTACAATGAAAAACAGAAAAAAAAAATGTTTAACAAGATTTTTTGTGACTGTTGTTTGTGGGATCATTGTTGCTGTCAGGCTGTCTTGTCTCCTTTTTCTTTCTTTCTTTTTTAATTTCACATTTCATGACACACACAATGGTGGCGCAGTCTACCAAAGGGCCCGCCGTGGCACATCTGAGCCTGCATGGCTCACTCTGTGTTTGTCTCTACTGACGGATGGAATTTGGGATGGCCGACTCCAGAATGTTCCATGGTGGGGCACTTTAGTGGGCACAGCATCTGAGCCCTTGCCCACCCTGGCAACAGAGAGGTCACACGGTGCAGCTTGCGGGTGGGCCCAAGCCGGGTGTGCATTCTTCCCGTTGTGGGAAAAGAAAGAAAACTCAGTGGTACCTAAATATCTGCAAGGCAATTTTCAATTTCCTCTTTAAAACATTTTTTTTTTCTTTCCCAAAGTATTCTTTGTTTCCCTCCCTCGAATTTCTGTCCCATTAGGCTGTGTTTCTCTGAATTTCATTTGATTCTTATTGTTGCTGTCAGGTTGCCGTTGCGGTTGTGTTGTTGGTGCAGTGGCGGCAGCTTTCCCCCCCAGGGGAAGTGGCACTCACATCAAAATTTGAGGAGCAGGTGCAAGACCAGAAGAGGGAGAAGCCAAATGCAGCCTGCCCTCCGTGACGACGTCCCGTTGTTCACTTCGCTGACTGCGCCGGGGCCTGTGAAAAGAACGCACTGGTCATGAGCTGCCTGTTGTAAAGTGGAAGAAAATCCTGTGAGTGGCCTGGTCTGGTGTCATAAGACTTAGCCCTGCTGAGGCATCCCTAAAGTGGAGCATCAGCTATTTCAGGTCCAGCATTAGAAATGAACTTTCTCAAGCTCTGACCCATCCATGCACACAGGACACCATGGGAAGCCTTCCTTGGCAAGTAGAGAACCGGAGGCTCAGGTTAAAGCATCCTGCTGGCATCACTCCTTTACTGTTTTATAAACATGCTAAGGCCATRGCTCAAGGTCGAGTTCAAGAAGGTGGCTGATGAATAAATATCCTACATGGAGTTTCAATAAAATAACCCCTTGCAAAGTTTGTATTCTCACCTAACCCCTTCTGAGCTCTGACTGCCTTGATCATTCACACAAGCCTCCAGCTGCTCAACCTGTTGTTCAGAAAAGGACCTGTTGAAAACAACAATCTGTCTGCCGGCTGCTACTGCTGCATGGGGCACAGAGTCCATTCTGTCAATCACTCCATCTCAGGGTAGGGCGCTGGGTTCTACCTGGAGTGCTTGGCCTCTTGCCCATCTGGACAAGATAATAGCAGATGTAACTCATGAATCAGATGCCGGAAGGCCCCAAATCAGCCCAACAGAGTGGAGGTGGGACAAAGTAAAGAAAGAGGAGGCTGTTTTCTGCATGGACATTGATGTAATTAAAGATTTAAATGGATACTGGAGTACAGAAGACAAAACCAGTTGGGGACCCATCCTGAAGGACAAGCAAGGGAAAGGGAGGGCACATTTCCCTATGACAGACTAACCAGGCCTGCAAAGCAGATGCTCTTTGAGATGGAGCTGAACACAAGAAGCAAAAGGACTTCAAGTCCAAAAATTTCCCTAGTAATTTCTCCATTGCTCTGAAACATCAGCTTTTTGGCTACTTAGACCATTGTGGCCAAGAAACCCCAATTCCAAATGGATCTATGATTCCTGAAAAATACCTAAGTTTGGATGCCAGGTGACTTCAGTGACTGATTAACTAAGGTACCTCTGTGATTGGGTGTGTCCTCACATTTTCTGCTGCCTTGAATTTCACAGAGGTATTTAAAGCTGGTGGTTATACTCAGTCCATTTCTTCACAGGGTTGGGAATAAACGACAGAGCCTGAACCTGCTGGACTGACTTGGATGCTCAGCACTGGAGTCACTTCTAATTAAGTCAGTTCAGAATCAAACCTGGCTTTTTGCTTCCATATGGGATTGTCCTGTCAAGGACACAACAAACTTCAGACCTGGGGCCACTACCCATGTGATTGTATTTTTTATCCCTTTGGAATAAATATTTGATCTGGGGGTGGTAGCTAAATAGTCACAAGTTTGAGATGTAGCAGGGCAACTCTTGTATCTCTGGTATCTAGTTGTTTTCTCAAGGCCAGAAGTTTGCAGCAGTGAAAATCCCCAAGTTGAGAAGTCCTCAGGAAATCTATTCTACTCTCCACCCTGCAAGGAGGTGACCTGCTGGGCAACACAAAACTGATGGCGTCCTTGGGGCCACAAAACCCCTTGGTTACAAAAGGACTTGCATGAGGATTTACATTTCAATTGCTGGTCCTTTAAGATAGGACACTAACTGGTCACGTCTTCTGGAATCTAACTACTATGTTACCACACAAACCACCACTGTGATCTACAGAACATTTTCCTTGGAGCCAAAGGAAAGAAGCCATTCTCTGTCAGTTTTAAGGGTAAGAAGCTATGTTTCTCTCCTCTGAAAAAGTCCTTTCTTCTGGGCCACTCCAAGACCTTTCCCAACAAGAACCCTGCCTGGACCTGAGACTAAGGAATCTAAGAGACAAAGATTATTATTTCCAAGTCCTCCTGACCCAAAAGGCTTTTATGGGAGCTCAGTTCCACATCTCCCCAGGAAAGATCTAGTGGTCACATTCCATCTCCATATATGCACATTGCCCAGAACAATTCCAAATGCGTCCTGCATATCTGTTACCCTCTGCTCATGGAAGGACCCAGAGTTGTTGACACCTGTATTCTTGTTTCTTTTACCGATTTCGCTCTTCTGAACACTCCACAGACACAGCTTTGAAACCGACTCTCTACTCAGTCTCAGAATACCCCGTTCTCTTCCTGTCAGCTCCCCATCATGGCTAACAAGATGCCTAGTGGTAAAAGAGTTGGAGAACAAATGCCAAATCCCTGAGAGCATCTTTCTCTCCTGCATTCCTCCTTGCAGGCCTGACCTGCAAACAGAACCACGAGTCAGGTGTACAGCCCAACAGGGGCCTGACTTGCATACCATGTAAGAAAAGGCTGAACATCTTGTTTCTGGGTGGGGGATTCCATAGCTTAAGAGGTACCTGTGAGCTGGCAAAGGCCACCCCCCAGTGTCAAGTCACAATGGCCTGGAGGCTCTGCCCAGTGTTCTTTGTGGTGCCTTGTTTGGATACCCCTCAGAGCTCTTTTGTGGCTCTGCTTCCTGCTAAGAAGCACTATAGGGAGTCTTTCAAGACAGGTTCTAAACATTGTGCTAGGGACAATGTTTTCTACAGAAAACAGAAAAAAGGGCACCAAGATCCTCTCTATGGTTCCTCTTGCTTATAGCATTATCTTGGAGAAGCTCAGGGGGCCTTTCTGATCTCCTCTTCAGGCCTGAGAAGGGGCTGTTAGAGTCACTGTGCATGAGTAATGCACATTGAGCATTGCAAGTCCAGTCTGCCCACACCCTCTAGTCCACACAGGCAGTCCTCCTCCTCCCCATGACCCTAACTACTATGTTTCTATAGATTCTAGCAGGAAACTGGAGGAAGCTAGAGAGAAAGGGCAGGAGACAGACGTGTTCCCTGAGGCACAGGTACCCCACACAATCCTCCCAAAGGAGACAGCAGGAATTATCCCCACCACTCCATTCACAAAATGTTCCCCACCTGGGCCTTGCCACCTGCTGCCTTGACCCCTCAAATCTGTTCTTTATGCTAATTCCAAGGTGGTGTTTCTATAATCCCAAGTTAATCATGCTGCTAATCTGAGGCTTATAGTTTTAAGAAAAATGTTCACATTTTTTTTTGGCAGAAAATGCACCCTACTGTATGATCTACCTGCTAGCTGCCTCATCTTCCAATGCCTTTTGTCCCATGTAAAACAGGCACATGTATATACACGCAGGCATAYACACACACACACATGGGTGGGCACCCTCTAGCCATATTCTTTTTATTCCTCAACTTCACACATTCTGCCCCTCTACGTGAGATGTACTTCATCTAACTCACCCCCATTCTTTATTCTAGATTCTGTTCTGGCTTTCAATCACCTCTTCCAGGCAGCCTTTCTTAATCCACTTGGGTTGACGCTCTCAATATCTTATACATTCTCCTACTTAAACACTCCCCACCCCTGCCATATTCAAATTGTCTTTGTTTGTATAACTTGTAGTTTGTCCTCTATTATACCGGTTTCTTAAAGGTAGAGTCTGTGTCTCATYGGCCTATGGTAGGTATTCAATAGAAGTCTGTTGATGGAAGTAGAGAGTACTGTGACTCGCGCTGATGTGTCCATAATTACTTTATCCTTGTGTTTTCTTTCTCTTAAGATTATACTTTGGGGAAATAAATCAAACCAAATGAGAGGGGAAAAAATTACTTTCCTATCTTGTCTTTGCTTTACCTCAGTTTCCTCTTCCAGATACCCTTCTTCCCTTTCTCTAACTGTCCAATAAAAGTCACTAAAAATTTTGGTGCTGAGTGAATGTCTACATAGAAGCAAAGTTATATGGACAAGGAATTCAGGTAGGATGCTTTCAGGTGGAAAGTTATCTATCACAGTGCTGATGACACTCATATAGGAGATGCAGATTATTATCTCTTTTATAATAGATGGAGGCTTAAATTCAGAGAGCTTAAGTGGCTTTCCCCAAGTCCCCTGACTTCTGTCTCCAAAGGCAATTTTCTTCCCACTAACTCAGAACTGCTTTTTTGTACAACTCTTGATCTTCAGGAAATAAAGAGAAGAAAGAGTGAGGCCCACAGAGCCTGTGATAACTGGGAACTGGCTAAGGTGGGCACCACAGACATATGACTGTTTTTTTTCCCACTCTAAATGAATGCTACGTTAAAAAAAAAAATTGTATGAGATGAGGTTGTTTGTCCAGGCAGACAAGAATCATAGTGTCCTGGGAACAAGGCCTCTTAGAGGTGGTGCCTGCCAGAGTGACAGTTCTGTCCATCTGCCTGGTGATAGGGCCACGCATTTGAGGCCTCTGTTCTTCATCCAGCAACACTTCCACTTCACATTGGATGTCTTTATTGCCTCTATCTCATTAGAGAGTTGCGGAAGCCTAAAGAGACTAATTACCAGGACAGTTAGGGTCCCAGAGAACTGTGATGAGTGTCAATTATCCATCGGAAACATCTGGCAGGAATGAAAGCCACAAATAAGACATATTTTATTCCTAGCCAAGTGACTCACCCCAGAACCTCCCCCTTCCTCCCATTTCTCCCTCCCTCCCATCACTGCCCTTCCAGTTCCAAGTTAGAGAGAGAAAGAGAGAGAGAAAGAGAGAGAGAAGGGAATAAGCAAAGGGCAGCATGCAAGGCCAAGGTCTAAGAAGATCACTGCATTAGAGCATTCCTGTGCAAGGAAAGAGGCAGGCCTGGTACAGAGGAGCCCAGAGATGCAGCTATTCTGGGCACTGACAGGTGCTCATTAGTGCCGCCAGCAAAGACAAGTTAGACTTGTGCAAGTGGAAGCTACCCAGGGAGAATGGGATGTCCTTAGGGACAGGGTCAATAGAAATTGACACAGAGATGCTCAAGGTCAGGGAAGGGTTCCCTCTGGGCTGCTTCCTGGTGTGAGCTTAGAAAAGAAGGCATCCTGGAGGAAGGTAAAGAGTTTTACATACCCCACGAAGCAGCAGCTTCCTGAAAATAAATATACTAACCTTTCCAAGGGGTCAGGGCTGTAGTTTTCACTTCTAAAAGAAATTAAAAAAAACAGGCCACTGTTAAGATAGAAAGTAGTTAGAAGTGCTCACTTTTCCCTCAGATGGTTTTAGGAACTTGGTGATTCTTCAGGCCCAAGAGCTTCCCCAGGGCTCTTGAACCTCCTTCTCGTTGTCCTGACCAGAGCCCAGCACTCATAGTGACCCATGTCCATGTTCTAAGGCAGCTAGAAGTGAACTGGGACTAAGAAAGGGTATGAGTAATTGTCAGAACAGACCACAGACTAAAGCAGAGCCAAAATATCCACCTCATTTTAACAGGAGACACCTCTGCAGCCTGAGCTGTCATGTCAAAACCTTTCTGTAAAACAAATTTCTGTATTTGGCCATCAGAGTAACTCCTAAGTGTTGAAGTGTGGGTCTTAAGTACAAAAGTGACTGGTACAGATGGATGTAAAATACCGTAGTTTTAATATGGGTGCCCATGTTTGGTTTGAAATATAAAACTTCCACCTGATWTTAGCTATACATTTTAGAAACACCAGTGAATAAGCTCTCAAGTGCCAGAAGAGCCCAGATTTTTGAAGTTTGACTTTTCTTGATGAGTCAGACAATACCAGCTTGGTCCTGTTGGGTCTCATCTCTTTGGGTCACATGAGGCAGTAAAGATCCACACCTGTGCTGCCACAGTTGCACTTGATGCACCTCCTTGTAGAAATGCTGGGGAGCCTCTTTGTTGGTTAGACCAGGGAAGATTCCCAATTTGCTAGCTTCAAACTCTCGGAACACGTCACAGAGGCTCCCCCAGCTCTTCTGTGGATAGGAGGTGTTTTTGTCTGGTCAGAAGTTGTAATCATCTCTAATCTCTTACTTCCCTCTTTAGCAGCCTCTGCAATTATTCACTTGGTACTGAGAGGGTGAAAAGTGTCCTTAAAGACTTTTGATTGAAGGGATGGCTTCTAAATCTATGTTAACTGACAAATGTCCTCAGATATAGAAAGATGACCTAGATACAACTGTCTTCCTCAATGCAGCTATAATGTTTGTTCAAAGTCAGATGAATACATACTTGTGCATTCAAGATCTCATTGTGTTTTTAAAGGCACAGATATATGATATCCCTCTCTATTGAAGTGGACTTTAGCAACCCTGAGAAATTGTTCTGAAGATATAAAAACATAAGTGGTGATCTATGGTTAAATGTTTTATGATTGAAGGAAGATCTGATGTAAAGTTGGGATAGCAGAGAAAGTCCAGAAGTGATGGTTCTATGTTGTCTGTGCCTTTAGCAGGGACAATTCCCTAGAGTGCTCACTGGGCCCTTGAAAACAGGCAGAACTTTAGGAAGGGCATTTTTTACTAATGTTCTCATTCAGGTAGCACTGATTTCTGGATCTCCCTGTGTGAAAAAAGATAACTGGATGAAGGCAGTTTGAAGAGAGACTTGAGAAGATGAATAGTCACACACATTTTACCCCCAAACCATAAGCAGTGCAATAAAGGGTAAGCTTGGGGAACAGTCACCCACAGAGTGAAGGGGATGCTGGTTCAGACTTTTAGAGGAAGAACACTGGACATTTCTATTTGGCAGTTGGGATTATCAGGAAGAGGGGGAAAAAATCAAAGGCAAAGTTCCTGCTCTAGACAACCAGAAGAGATTATCTGTACAGCAATGATCTGAAAACAACTTTAGCTTAATTGTTCCTGTCTAGCTCCCCCGCTCCCCACCCGTGCTAAATCTATAACAATCACTACTTCAAAGAAGTTCAATGCTAAAGAGCATCCATGAAGATAAAGAACAATTTGACACTCACCCATGACCTCAGCTAGAACTTAACCTTGGGTCTTTCCAGGTAGCAATGTGTCAATCCTTCCAGGTAAACAGAATGTTCTTGTACCCTTTCTTAGCACAGAAAGGGAAACCTAAGAATGATAGGCTTCATAGTTACTTCAAACCCACCATGCTGTGCTCTGGCCCATCATTCCTTTACCTTTGGCACTAAGAAGTGATGTAAGAAGAATGCTGCTCAATGTCAGTCCTCCAAAACATGCTTGACATGTTTTTGTTGGCTCTACCTTCTAGAAATACAAATCTTGCTTGTGGCTTCAAAGGCAGTTTGAGCCACAAACTGAAGTGTTTGAGTAAGATCTTGCTATCAGGAAAAGAAACAATCCCTGATAATCCAAGCATACATCCTTCTTCAGCAGGACCTTGACTGAAATTTAGTTGATCACTTTGTTAATGATGTATTAAGAAGGAGCCACATAGAGTGGGAAAATACAGTCATGAGAAAGAAAAAGGAAGGAAGAGAGGGAAGGGAAGAAAGGGGATACAGGTAGAAAGGAAAAAAGGGGAAAGAGGGAAAAAAAGGGAGAAAGAAAAAGAAAAGAAGAAAATGCAAGGTAAAAGAATCCCCTACATACACCCTAAGTCTCCAACTGGTCAGTATTCAATGTTTCAGCTCAACTCATAGTGATTTTTTTTTTTCCAGCAAAAAGCTGAATACTCATGGCTGAATCCAACAGTCAGGAAAGCTCTGGGCTGTTGTCTTATTTGAATAAGAAGCAAAGGTATGCTGGATGAGAACAGATATACCACCTTTCCAGAAAGAGGATGAGGGAAATTTTTCTTTTTTTCTTTTTGCACTTTCTCTTATTTTTAACATACAGGTGCCATAGAAATGCTAATTGTGGATGCCTTGGTGGCTTGGCCTAATTAACTATTTTTAATCCTCTGCAGGGAAGCACTGATCATCTTTTCTGTGGTTGCAATTGTTTCCTTCTGATATCTAGACTTTACTTTCGCTTCCCATTCTTTAATAAATTGGTTTGATGGTCACTGTGAGGTTCACAGGCATTAACCAGCCCACATTTCCCAGCCCACCGATATCATCAAATCTGCCTTAATGCCTAGAAGATAAAAGACAAAAGGCCAATGGATGGGAAATGAGCAGCCCAGGAGCCGCTGAGCTTGCAGTGTGGGCCCCCGGAATACTGGCCTGTGCAGAAGTTTCATGAGGGATGGTTGGCATAGCACCGAGTCCTTATTTATCATTGCAAGAATCCTGCACCACCAAATATTAATACGAGAATGTGACATGCAATCTGTTGTGTTTGCAAAAGGGAGGCAGAGAAATACTTCAAGGGTGGCAAAAAAATGCTGAGGAGGAATGAAATTCCCTTATCAAAATCCTTCTAGTCTATCCAGATATTGTGTAGCAAAAATAGCTTTGAACTTCTCTGAAAAACCAGTGTTTCCTGTCAGTGGAAATCCACATGTTGGTATAAATCTTTCTTACATTTCTCTGATAAGATGTGCATAACTTGAAGGTATTCCCTGAGAAAACAGGTAGCTCTCTATTGCATCAGAGAGTAGCAAAGGAAGAAGGAAAACTGAGCACAGATGAATGAGGTGAGTGTGCCCAGGGTCAAGGTCTGTTTCCTTTAAAATATTCCTAGTTGTATCAAAAAGTCCAGCAGCTATACTAAAGACCACACAACTTAGCTGTCAGAATATTGCAAATGTCTATGACTTACTACTTCTGGTTGGTGGGAAGAGGGACTGAACATTTCCAGAGAATGAAATTAGAAAGTTGGCATAGAGATCATTCCACCCAAATCAATCAGTTCACAAAAATAAACATATAAAATAAAATCACTGGGGGAGGGAAGAGAGAGTGATATCTCTATCTATCTATCTATCTATCTATCTATCTATCTATCTATCGAGAGAGAGAGAGAACAACCCAGCCCTCTCTTGGCAGGTAGATCCTGATAACAATGTCTCCAGCTCCAAGTCCCATATTCAACCACTAGGCAAAGTGTTCAGGTTGTTTTTATTTTTGTTTCGGCTTTTTTTTTTTTTTTTTTTTTTTTTTTGCTGATGACTTTGATGTGAAATGATGCATATAACTTTAGCTGAATATATTAGCTTATTAGAAACCACTACCCAAGTTTCAAATGTTTCTGATTCCTCTGAGAATAAAGCCCTAAGTAGCCAGAATTAGCTTAGTAACTTCTGAAGGCACTTCTGAAGAATCATTTGTTGTAAGTTCAGTCCCTCTTTCCTTTAATGCCATTTATGTTAGCTACTTTTCTAATGCTGTTTCACATCTGTGACTATGTCTCACATGGAGGTTCAATAATCGTACATTAAATCATAACTTGAATCTCAATATGTTCATTTACTTTCCTCTTCCTTCCTCTTTCTTTCTTTTGTTTTCCTGTTCATGGTTCATTACCAAGTTACTATATATCACTAAGGTGAACTATGCAGCCCTGACTCTTTTCAAGATACAAGCATTTTTCCTCATTTGTCAAACAGCTCCTCACATAATTCATTTCTTTCTCTCTCCCCATCCACCTCCCAGGTCTAAAACTGTCCTGCTATGATCATTTACACAGTTAGAATGTGAATGGGTGAACAGGATGAACATCTGGAATATGAATGGTGGAACAGGGTAAGGTGGGAAGAGGGAGGTGGGAAGGTTGGGCTGGGAGGTGGGAAAAACCATTCCCCTCATTCTTTTCACAAGCTGTCTTTCTGCCGGGCTATTGCTGGACTCAGCACTGTCCTTAAGAGGAGAACTACAGCACCCAAAARGCACCAGTTTTATTCTACCCCTCAGCCCAAATGCTCAGGCATGTTCTTAATGGGTCATTTACACTAGATTAGTGGACATGAGAAAAGGACTTGATGTGGACGGGATGTCAAGGGGCTGGGAAAAGGGTTTGAAGGATGAGTTAATGGACCCCATAGGATGCTCCATGAAGGAATGGTCTCCATCGTAGTAACTCTTTCTCTTTGACTTGTATCTGGAGATTCAAAATGCACCTGTTTTCAAAGTCTTTTTAATACATATTTTCAGTTGAATGTTGTCTGATTCTGTAAGGTAGATAAGACAAATCGACTGTATTTTATAGAAAGAGGAAATTGAATAAAGTTTAGTGACTTACCCCAAAACAGAGAACTATGGAAGGTCAGGCTCTGAACTAAAAGTGAAGGCACCCTCTCTAGATCATTACTTGTAGGCAAACATGCATGCTGCACCAGCCTGCTTCCCTCCCTTGGAGAGTCATGTGAGCCAAGTGATGCACTTGATGGAATATTTCAATCATCCAAATATGTGTGTTTGACCTTGTTGCTGAGGGACCATCAAAAGGATTCTTTATGAAAGCTGCTCAGTTGGTTTTAGTTCAGATTTAGTTTTAACCTTTTGCCTTCATGCTAATCTCTGGGTTTGGAGATGTGAATGATATTTATTTTCCTTTCCCTTCGCAAACCTCCTGGGGCATTGTGGGCAAGGGGTGAGCAGAGAAAAGAGAATTGTCATTGGATTTTCACCAGATCCCAATAACTTCCTTAAAGAGCCTTCCGCCACCATCTTCTAAACAATTTTACTGAAAGGAGTGTCAGGTAATGCACAACAGGGGAAAGGGAGAGGAGTGGGGGCTCTGGGATTGAAGGGAGGGGAGAGAAAACATAAAGCAAGGGGGATACTGACCTTGCAACAAAGTTGAGCTTGTAGGCTCATTTAGTTCTAAATCGGGTGAGGGACAACAAGAGAGAAAAATGAAAACAAACACATATATTATATACAGTAGCTATATATTTGTCATATATAGTTTGTATACTGTCTTTTTACAAGCATTTTTGGAGAAATGGATAAATAAAGGAAGACACAAAAACCAAAGGTGGTAGGACAAGGTGCAGCAAGAAAAACACTGAGATGCTTTATGTTTTGTATTGGATGGGATGGTTGGGAAGAACAGGACCTGGCCACTATATATATTTTCCAGTACAAATGAATTCACTTGGCACTTGTGCTGAGCTGAGATACTGATTTGAAACAAATGACTGAAGCCTCTTTCTAGAGAGATTTCTCTCCCATATCCTCACCCCTGGTGTTTCAAAGAAGTTCAACTTCAAGAACTTCTGGTCCCATGGCAATATGATTGGAATATGATCTCCCAGGAATCACTGATTCAGGAATGTGGCAGCAGAACTCTCTTGTTTACTGCCAGTTCTGCAATCCCAGAGATGAGATGCTTGGAGCCCACTTAGTTTGAGATAGGAATGAGCATGCTGCTTTTTTTCTTAAGTCTCCCCAAGATCCTGATCACAATGGAAATATCTTGCATCAGAATTCCTCACTTTTCAATGTCTAGGACACATGGAAAGAGCATGCAATTTGTGTACAAGGTGGTGGCAAAATTATGAAAATTTAGCTGGCTTTCTGGTAAAGCAACTGGAGAATGAACTTCATCATGAATTCATATACTCATGTGAAGTAAATGCTGCTGCTTTTYCATCTGCCCAATCTGCTTGATAGAACTTAAAGGAAAATGACATGGAAAATCTCCTAATAAATTTATATTTGTCAAAAGACTTCATTGATAGGAACCTCAATGATAATAATGATGGGCAACTTGATAAAAAAATAAACTCAATAATGAGCTTAGAAGCCATGATAATGTCTGCACTAGACTTGGCTTGAATTAATGGGTTGAGAATGCTCATCTTCAACATTAATGGGGTTAATCTTTGAGAATTCCTGCATTAAAGAGGACCCCCACATGTACCCATTCATCTTTGAACCAGTCTTTCTAAACCTATTCACATAGGTACCATCATTGTATAATGTTGGTTTTAGAGAACCCTGGACTCTAGAAAGCTGACAATGGCCGAAGTACCCCCAAAAGTTAGCACAGGTTGAATGCTTTTAAAGCAATGGGGGGAGGGCAGGGAAAAGAAGGAGTTGTAATGGTCACAGATGGGTCTGCTGAAACGAGCGTGTTTATGACACATGGTTCACTGCTTGTCTTGTCATAAACTCCAGTTATTTCACTCCTTTTTTTTTTTTTCTTTTAAGTTTGCTGCTTCTCCCTATTCTTATCTTGAGAAGGGTTAAGGGGAGGAGGCTAGGGGATTAGACAGTAGTGATAAAGTCAATGGCAAAGCCATTTTCTGCATCCAAATCAGAAGAAAGAAAAGGTCAGAGGAGGAGGAAGACTATTTATAGGAATCAGGATTCCTGTGGCTGCAGAGTAGGACTTGGGAAGCTGTAGAAGGGAAAGTGTGGAAGAGCTTAGATTTGCAAGACAGAGGAAGGAGTGGCCTGTTCTTTTCTAATTCTGGCCCTCTTGCCTGCAGACAGACATCTGTCAAAAAAAAAAAAAAAAAAAGGCCTGACAAATGTGAGGGGCACTCATGACTCTCCCTGTGTGAGAGATGCCAGGCAGATCAATCACTCTAATCATAGCTCTGTCCATTCTGTGCTAGAGGCTCTGGGATCAAGGGCAGCCTTCCTTTTCCCAGTCCTCTCAGATAAAGCTGGGCTTTATTTTATGTGCAGAATAAGAGGCTGGGAGAATGTGATTTGGAAGCAAAGATGTCACCATGGAACATACACTTCTACTGAGGTCATATGGCAGGGTTAGGGCAGGGGTGTGGCCCTTGAGGGGATGGATTATCCAGGACTTCTGGGAATAACCACAATTTATGTCTTTGCCAATTATCTGTCAAAGTCTCCCTTTTTCCCCTTTTATGTTACATTTAAGAGTACTTTTCAACATGGGGTTTTTGGAGAATGGATTTAAAAAGTCCCAGAACCACTAAGTGTGGTGGGGGTGTGGAGGGATTTGCACAAAAGGCAACCAGAAATTAACCATGTGATGTGCAGGGAATATTTGCATCCATCAAGGTGCCAAGCCATTGCCAGGCACCTGTAGTTTCTGCTTGTTGACACAGAGGGACATAAGCTCACCTCTGCATAGACAGTCTCTGGGCAGAGAGGTGGGGCATCCAGGGTCTACCAGAGAGCTGGTTCACTTGCTTCTGGCAATAAGATAGTTGCCAAATGCATAATGAAATTAGAGCAATTTGCCTTATATACATTGATCTTTAATAAAGAGTTGTTTAGGAAATGAATGCATGAATGACTATGCAACATATTTCAAGATGATGGTTTGGATGGATGAATGTTTTAATCCAGCCAGACAATATCCAATGGTACAAATGGGGAACTTGGAAAATCCTCATTTTCTATATTATTTCTCCCTCTGAAATTAATATTATTAAGGATCCCAAGACCTGTGATTCTATTTTGATGAATACAATTTGATTTATCTTATTTTCCAAAAGATGGAAAAACATTTTAGAAAAGGGAACATGTTATATTAACCCAGTGAGCAAAATATGGAAATAGTAAATACTCTTCTCTGGGCTCTTTACTATTTTACTCAATTATAGTCTCCATGTCATTTTAGGAGACACMACTGAGGAAACAAAAACAAAAACATAAATGTCATTTTTAGCATCTCAAAGCCTTTTCCTCCTGATTTAGAATTTTTCTCATTATAGAATGAATGAAAATTCTTTTTCATTTCTATTTTCCCGTTCCCGATATCTACTTTCATACCTGCATTCTCTCTTTCTCCTCTCTTCTTTCACATCTTTCTTTCCCTCTTGCCTGCCCAACTCACTTCTGATACCCATCCTTCTAGAGCCTCCTCCCCAGCTTCTTCTCCACAGGGACTCTCCCCACTTCACACTCTCTCAGTGCCCAGCTCAGGGCACATTCTCACCAAATAATGTGATGCTGGCATTGGTGTGGCCCAACTTGTTTGAGGCCACACAAGTGTAGTTCCCGTAGTCATGTTCAGAGACATTGAAAAAGATGAGTTTTGACAGGAAAGGTCTGTTTTCCACTTTGACTCCTTTCTTTCCTTCAATCAGTCTAAAACAAATAAGAGACATAAAGAGAAGAATAAAAAAGACATGGTCAGTTTCTCTCATAGGATGGAAATAGACTCTAGAATTAATGAACTTCTCATTGTTTCCCCATCACACATTATAATAACCCCACTATTTCCTCCTCTCAATGATACCCTATGTTCATTCACAATGCACAGGTGATCGTAGCGCTCCATGGTGCTCCATGCCCATGGAGATACTCTAGACAGGATGGAATATTTCTTATGGCCATATTTCAGTCTTCTGAAAAGAAATGCATCATTTTATTCTTGCTATCCCTTAGTTATGCCACAACAATATACACCATCATCTCTCTGGCCTTTAGGAGACTATCATTTATGCAGTGGATAAGGGAAAGTGCATATTTGTCTGGAACTGTTAATTATGTTAATGAAAGTGATGATGATGATGATATCAATGATGATGTTGATGATGACAATGAAAAACTAACGCTTCAAAGAGATGCATGACCTGAAAGGTTTGAAAAATACTATTTTTTCAAGCACTTGGGCAATACAAATTTTCCATAAGTTACTTGAGACATTCTACAGATAAGACTTTTTGTGGGGGATCTGGGAAAAGAAGAAAATAATCAAGGGAATTCTGAAGGACTTAGGAAGAGTGATCGCCCCAGTGTATCATAGGGGATCAATCTGGGAAGGATTAGAAATTACTAAGAATATGACTTTGTAGAATCAAGACTGTCTCTGTGAACAATCAATGTGGCAGGCCAATATGCCAAGGAAAGTTCTTTACATCAACCTTTTACTTTCCCTGAAAATTTGTATTCCTTGCCCAGAAGCTCATTCTGTGCTATAGGAAAGAGAAAAAAAAATATTGGAGAGAAAACATCCTTCATAAAGGATCACGGAAAACATGAACAAATGCCTAAGTTGACTGTTTAGGGCCTGGGTGGAGCAAAACTTGCAGTGAGAAAATGATGTCAAGTGGTGATGTGCACTGAATCAGGCCCAGGGGACATGCACTGAGGCAAATGGCTGGTATTGAAATCACCAAACCAAGAAGGACGATATTCATGGCAGAAAGGGAAAGTGAAGCTCAGCATGACAATGATGAAGAGACGCTTTGTCAACTATAAAATGTTTTTCAGTGTAATGTGTTTTTCTGGTGTTAGACAAGAGGATCCCTGTCTGTCCCTGGGTTATGGTGTTTTTTAGCATAGAGTGTAGCTGGTTTGTATTATCAGAAACCTCATCTCTGTGAGATTACAGAATGATCCTCTCCAGCACCAAAACTTATGATGGTAATTTTATCAGAAAAGAGAAGCAGGTTCTAGTTTGTGTTCTCACCCATCTGCCAAGAAAGTTGGTTGAGGKTTTTGCATTGCTTTTCATTATGAAGATGTTTCCTCTGGGAGACTTCCTGCCTAAAAATTCAAGGTACAGTGAACTGGCCTGAGTCCACAGACTTCATTAAAATGCTTGCACTGTGCAAATGGAATCCTGCTGTGGTCAGAAACCACTTTTATATTTCCAGCTTATTATGTCTCCATTGATTCTCTAGGGGGTACTGTCCCAGAAAGCCTCCTAACGCCACCACCAGAAGGCTTCCATGAGCCAGTCAAAGTATTGATCCCTTTCTCGGTTTTGATGGTGTTCCTCAGAGAAAGAAGAATCCTTCACATCAGAACTAAGCTGTGAATTAGATTTTGGCTCCATAGTGGGAAGCAACTCACCGGAAGCAGGTTTCTGCTTGACAGCTCTCAACTGTCTTTAGCTAAAAACAGTGTAGGGTGGCCAGTATCACTTTGCAGCACTTCACAGCTCCTGGGATGACAGCTTTCCCCTTCTCCATGTGTTCACACTCTGCCCACCCCCATCCAGTACTGCTACGAGGCTTCAGTTTCTTAATGAAGTTGTAGATTTTCATTTGCTAATGCTTCTGTAGTTGGGTGGCCCTTATTAAGTGCAGAATTCCAATTCCTCTGCTTCAGATTGATAACGCACACAAAGTAGTAGGTGGTGGTGTGGCACTAGTACGATGCCAAAATATTTCTACCATAAACTTTAAGAACACTGCCTGTCCCCACCACAGATTCTTTTCATTTTCCCTCAGAAATCAGCTCATCTCCCTGATAATGGGAGATGGGTTAAGAACTATTCTCTCCCAGTGGCGGATGTGATATTCTTTCTGAGAGTTGCCTGATGGAGATTGCCTGGTAGCTCTGGAGGCACAGACACAGCTGACTGTGACAAGGACTACAAGGCAGGGATACTCTTGTCCAGCCAGGTGCCAGGAGAAAAGGCAACTCCATTCCATGAGAGGACACTGGAAAGGAATAAATGAATGAGTGGCAAATAGAGAAAAATCAATGGAAATGGGAACAAAGGAGAATCCATAAGAAGAACTAAAATAAAAAGGGAAGCAAAGCTGCCTCAGCAAGGACCTCTGAGAAACACCATTAACAAACATCACAGTCTCCTTTCTCCTCCCTGGTAAATGTTGGGGCAGACCGTGGCCCCCTCTGCGGTTGCTGTGAAAAGAAGAAACCTCTCCATTTATCTCAACATTGGCCATTTGTGCTGTATTTTCCTCAGCATATTTTGAGAGCTTGCTTTCCCCCTATATTTTGTTTCTATTTTTCTCTTATAAAGAATTAGAATAATGGGATGCAGCTGATTAATTTTCACTAAGACCTAGATAATTCAAAATTCAAGAACTGACCCTGCAGCTTAATAGTGTTTTGTTTTGTGTTGTTCTTTTGTTGTTTTGTATTTTTTTTTTCATCCTAGATCTTCATGCCTCAGCTTCTTCCTAGTACATAAGAAGGGTGGTGAAGAATGATGGGGATTGGTGAATTCTTGAAAGAAAGACAAAAGCCAATTTTATTTCTTCGTAAGTTTATTTCCCCTTTTCCTATGTCAGTTCTTTCATTCATGAAATGGGCAGAATGAATATAGCACTCTTCACCAGAGGCTTTCAGATATGTCCTTAAAATGTAAAAAGGATTGCTTGTCACTTGGAGGGGTGATGATTAATAAGGTCATGAATCTTACGATTGTGTGTGATAGTCCCAAATGAGATTCATTTATTGATTCAAAAAGTAGAATATTCCATGTTTGACTTAAAGAAAACCAAGATGTATTGAACATAGTGCATGTAGCATCAAATTAGTTGTGGTACATCAAATAGTGTATGGGCAACAAATTGCTGAAATTTCTTACATCACTCTTCTTTGATTTTCCTCTCTGTTTTTTTTTCCACTAATCAGCCCTCAGCCTCCATCACTCCTTCTTCTTCTACCCATAGACCTCAGAGACATTTTTGCATTCCTAGCACCAACACCTCCATTTTTATGAAAATATTCTGAACAGACAGCACTTGCACATTTATTTTTGTTGTTCATCCACCTTAAAAATAGCTCTTTGATAACAGTAATTGCCATGTTGCCTGGCTGTACTGAGTTGCTGATCCCTGCACTGACATGCCATTTGATAACTCCTCAAAATGATCATCTTCAGTGACTCACAACAAATATCCCAATGATGGCTGCAACAATAGGGAGGAAGGGAATAGCCCCAATCCTTTTCTCCTACAGAGAGAGAACAACCTGGACACAAAGGAAAGGTTAAATCAGGTCATGGACTCTTGCACGCATTACTGATGGTGTCTGGAATTTAAGTGGAGAACTGCCAGCTGCGGCTAACTTATGCGCCCCTCCCAGAACCCCTCAGTCACCCTTTAAAGCAAGCCTGAGAATGTGTTAAAAATAGCTTCAGGCAGAACGCATTATTTTCTTGGCCTGGAAAAAAAAATGCTGGCCTTTAGAAATTTTCTGGTGGCCTTTCTTTGGCAATTTTTGCTTTCCTAAAAATATGCTACCTTTCAGGCCTGTTCATAATTCTGCATGGTGACATAAAAAACCCAGCTGAATTTTATTGATGTTAAGGAAAGACTTGTTGCAATTATTTCCCCCCTACAGGTAGGAGAACCTTAGAAGAGAATTTTACTGGAATTCATTTGCAAACATCTGGAATCAGGAACCTGAAAAAAAAAAAAAAAGCTTTCTTCTGAGGAGAAAGGATGAGGACTGGAGATGAGAGGACTTTACCTTTTGTCATCCTTGTACCACTGGAATTCTGCTGAGGGAACTGCTGAGGCTTCACACTGCAGTGTCCCCTTCTGCCCCACAGGGACACCTGTACCCTTAGCTTCTGAAATGTATGGTGGATCTGCGGAGAGAAGACATTCCATCGCATTTCAAAGTGCATTTCAAAAGAAAAAAGCCTGCCTCATTCATTTGTGGATTTTGTTGGTTACTCTCTGCCCTACTTTTGTTAACTTGCTCTGTCAAATTGCTGTAAATTGTGCCAGAGAATGAAAACATTTTCAATGTCATTCTAAGGAAAAGCATGATCTTTCTAACATAGATTGCTTCTGTTCTCCTCTGTGCAGAGGTGGGATGACCAGATATTCAGGTATATTTCCTGTGAAAACTTGTTAACTTTCATAGGATGATGCCAACATATCAACCCTATACTTCATGGGTTGACAGTCAGCTACTTTAATCAGCCTTATAGAATTTCTATACACCAGGTTCTTGCCAAAGTATATAACCTGAAACTATTCAATTCCCATCAAAAGCTCAGTTACAAGAAATAATATTCATGGAAAATTGCCTGAAGGATGTACAGATCAGTCATTTTTCTAAGTATTCTGACATGGATCCCTGAATTCAGCCAAACCAAACTAGAGCTACATACTTGGTTTGCATTCATTTGAAGTCTTTACCAAACTATCCATGACACTCCAACAGTTTGCACTGAAAGGTATTAAAGAAGAAGACACAATATACTTGCTGTTCTATTTKTTGCAGAAATAATATCATACATGATGTGTTTTGTTATCTCAAAATGTTCCATTTATGAAGACACCTGAAGAGAATTTTCTCTACAGTCTCAATGCCAGGAAAAGCCRTGTTTCTCCCAAGCAAATAAATTGCTTTTATCTTATGGACAGCATAAATCTTAAAGCAAGTGATGTTTCTTCTCTTTGCTCTACCATTTCAAAGCTACATACAGGACCTGAACTTAGCCACTTAGTGGTATGTATTTCATGTGCTGATTTTCCCTAGCTTTTACTCATTTTTCTTAATATAGTTTTCCTTTGCTTCAATTTCTTTACATTTTAGGTTCATCTTTATGTGTTGGAAATAATTTTAAGTCCTTTTAAAATTGTGATAGAGTAAAATATATCGTAATAGCATAAAACTGATAGCCTTGTTAAATGTACTTTCTTACTCATTAAAGACCTTCATATTACCTAGGTCCCAGTAGTACAGTATCCTTGTTGTACCCCCACCCACCCAAGTATTGAATGGAAAGGATTCTTGTTGCTRGCTTGGTTCTTGGGTTTTGTTCTGCCATAAGATTTCCTGCAGCATAAACAATATGGTAAAACTTCAGAATGCCATAAGTAACTGAATCAATCAATGTACATTAAAAAAAAAAAAAGAACCCAGARAAAAAAGACTGGTATACAAGTAGGGAATTTAAATAGTATCAATGTCAGAGAGAATTTGGATGGTTGACAAAGCAGAATGAGGTATGCACAGCAGTGACTCCCAAACTTTGCGGATCCTGTACCTCTATTAGTAAAAGTCAAATTTTTAGATACACATGTACGCAGGTTCAGAGAATGTATCTGTTTGAATTTAAAATTTGAATGCATACCATGAATGTCAACATCTATAATTATAAAAGGATGATATCCATACATAGAAGGGGGTCTCACCACATTGTGTGAATAAATTATGGGGAAACTTTGGTTCTCAAAATGCACTTATATACCTTACGCATTGAATGCCATTTGATAATCTCGCAGTCATGTCACATTTGGTATTATATTAATATACTTTAAGGATTTTTTTTTTTTGTGTGTGTGTGTGACACTATGACTTCTAGACTTGACAAAAATGTCACTTTGGCCCTGTTGGTCTTGAAAGCAGAATGTGGAAAATGGTCCTGCATTCTTTTTCATCCTGAGTCAGCAGTTGATTCTGCTGAGTGGCTTGTTGTTGTGGCTGTGAAAGCAGGCCAGCTTCATGCACATGAAGGGTTGGGGACTGGCGAGACCACTTACAGTTCACRGTGACCTTTACTCTTCGCACCACTGGTGCAGCCACGTCGTTGGAGGCGCTGCACTCGTAGTCCCCAGACTGCTCCCGGGTAATGCCCTGAATTTCCAAGTATTCRTCTTCACTCACAAAGCCAACAGCTGCAGAAGAAGTAGTGAGGTATAGTAAAATAGGAGGGAAAAAAAGACAAAGAGTATAAATTTAGAAAGAGAAGTATAAAATGGTTATGTCTGTAGAGAAGAGAATTRTGCCATTTGTCAGTTCAGATCCTTAGGAACTAAGTAGATTCTCCCACTCCACCTTGCCTACCCCTTTCACCACCAACTTTTCCCTGGCTCCCCAGTGGACCTACTGAAATGTTTGCACTCCTAATTGAACTAAGTATGGTGTCTAGATAACTAATGGTACTCTATAAGTAATTAATAATTTTGACATTACACTGCCTGGATATTACCAAGTGGTCCCATTCTGGGATCTGAGTGAGGCACAGGTTTCTGATCTCAAGGCATCATTTAGACTGAGTCTTGAATGTATATCTGCTGCTGATTGCATTCCTGGGCATGAACTTATTAAAAATGCCACATTGGCAGACACACACATGCCACAAAGACAGCAGACATGCTAATGTGATAAATGTAACTTTGTTTTTAGATGAGACAATCAATTTAGAGAAAAAAATCAATTTTTTTCAATGTTGATCTGTTAGAGCTCTGGAGTATAAGATGCTAAAGACAAACCAACTGGGGGGCCATATTCTCGATTTCTAACCACAAGCAGAACTCAAAAAATAACACCTGGCTGTAAACCTCACTGTCACTTAATCTTCCCAAGATTCAATTTCTTTAGTGAGAAAAACTGTGAATAATAAGACCCTCTACATGCCCAACTCTATACCTGATGTTTAGCCAAGACCATTCAATTATAGGAAGACCGATATATTGAAGCCTAGGTAACAGGTTCTAAAGTTCTCTCCCAGAGCCACACTAAACTAAGTTTCCTTGACAAAGGAAAATAAACAACAAAAATAACTGCTTACATTCTGGGATTATCCTCCCTTCTCAGTTAAATGAAGACAAGTAGTATACAATTTCCTAAACCAGGATACTATTAAAAGGAAATTATTATCAGCAGGCTTAAGTTGGGATTGTCCCTACCAACTGAGAAACATTTTCTCAATATAATGTACCAAACAGTCCTAATATTTCATGGGGTAATTTAGAGCAAATATATATATATATATATATATAATGCATAAAAAGACTTTGAAACTTTCATGTGCTGCAAACCTGCTGATTTAGCTATTAATCCTATAATCGTCTGGAAGTCCAGATTCAGGAGGACTGAAGTCATATTCATAGGAACAGTTCCAGAAAGGTAACTAAAGAACATTTCTCTCTAGGTCATAAAACTCCATAAGGCCACATGTTTCTACTGACCCAGAGAATGAAACTGATAACTCAAAGAAATTAATATGATTCAAAGGATGATATATGTGATATGTTAGTCATGATTGTATTTGTTCTATGACAGTGCTAAGATCATCATTCTGGTCAAGTCAAGAGTTACAAAAACAATAGTAACAACAACAACAAAAATCTTGTAAAGAAGGGTCACTATTTGTTCATTTCTGCTGCTGCTTCTTGGTCATGATAGTTCTGTGCTACCAGCCAGTAACCAGTTCAACCAGAGCCATTTCCTCAGGTACTCTTATGCATTATGAAATATGAACACACCACACACCCACACTCTCACACACACACACACACATACACACACACACATATATATATATATATATGAGTTATATTATATATATATATATATACATAAACACATGTACATATATATAGATATAGACACATATATCTATATATAACATACATACATCTCTATATAGCATACATATATCTATATATAACATTCATATATATAATACAGTCACTCCTTTATTACATACAAAGGAAAAAAATAGTTCATGTCTGTTACAACAAGAAAAATCATTAAATTCACAAGAAAAAACAGGATCATGTTAATTAGAAAACAGGAAAGTCTTGCACAGAGAGAGTCTTACACAGACAAACTCATGGACCCAGTTTATAAGAAGGTCTACTTGTCTCAGCGGGCTTTATTATTACTGTTTTATACACATCTTCAGGAGGAAAAGAAAAAAAAAAAAAMCCCGATTTGAGAAAGGGTGGAGGAAAGGAGGAGATGAGACTTAAGTGAGGAATCTGCGATTCCTCTTATGTTGCCTTTGTTTATTTCTCCCAACCACAGGCCTACATTTGTCAGATGGCTCATTGCACGAATGCTATAATTACTGAGCAGAGCATCTCGAAGTCCAGTGTCACACTTAATATTCCCATTAATTTTAAATGGTAGTCCTTGGTACATATGTGTGGCAATTGGTGTCATATTTTAATTAGGCTTGCCCTACACCATCTGAAATTAATAATAGCTCGAATTACCAGTGTAATTTATAAATTAACAGTGCTGCAGCATTAGGAAATAAATTAGCTCTGGACAGCTGTTTCTGGATGGAGCTCCAGTGTCACAGCAGTGACTACAGAACCTCAGGTCTCCTGAGGGGCTGTGTCATACACCACCAAAGTAGAGAACAAAAAGGCACAGGTTCTATTGACCTCTATTCTTCTCTCCAACTGAAGTCCATATATCTCTTTTAATTCTGCCATCCAACTGTACTCTTGTGTGACCATACTGAGACAATCTTTGATCAGCTGGCTCTGTGGACATTCAAAAAGAAAAGCATCTTGGGAGGATAATGGAAAAAGCTAAAAGGCAAATACACAAATGTTAGTGTAATCAAAATGAAGATCTGGTCAAGTTTTTTTGTGGGAACCTAGGCATATGAATGTGGATGTAAGTTCACCTATTCTTGCTAAGGGATATTCTGTAATGAGGGAAGTTGACTGAATGAAGAACTGAGGGAGACATATGGTCTCTACTGCTCCAGATGTCTGTTACTGAAAAGAGGGGATTTGCATTTAAGTTATCCTTCCAAAACCAATGAGACTTGATTTTACTATCCTATGTTCCCCAGACCAGTATAGAATTTCAGAGGAACCATGATGACTTCATTTCCCAACACTTTCTATATGTAAACTTTCGTATGACATTTGGTGAGGCCTGTGAAAATGATTTATGTACACATTAAAGCACTTTATATATTTTATTTTTTGTTGTCATTATTTTCACCTTTCTCTTGGCATACTTTTTTCTTCCGCTAGAGGCAAATATGGCAAAGCCAAAGAGAAAGAGGATCACGGTACCCACAGAAAGCTAAATTTTGATTCACCAGAAATGAGGCTGATATGTRAATTTTTAGAGATATTAAGAATGTTTTCATCTAAAAACCTATATACTCTGGCTATGAATTAGCTTTATCACTAGTATAAAGAACTTAAAAGATTATTTTAGGAAAAAATTTCAGCTGAGTACACTGTTTAAAATGCTGAAGTATTCTTGTTAAGAGACACAAGTGGAGAAGAGGCAAACCACTTGATAAAACCCAGTGAAAAGAAACCCTTCATTGTCAAGAGCATCTCATTTATAGGTCTGCTTCCTCTTCTTAAGAAAATGTATCCTTGGGTGGAAACGACACACTCATCTTCTTAAAATATCCCTTTCTTCATGTCACACCTCTTTAGAGGCTATAAATGGCTCCTACGGCCTTCCTATGTCCTGTAACATTAAACACAAACTCCACTGACTGGTTACCAAAGCTTTCCAAAAAGAAGCCCAGATTTACTCATCCAAATTCATCTTGCATTAGTTCTTTGAAGAACAGACTGTCATTGTAAAAAGCAAATAGATGGAATCAGGCAAAGCCAATTTTTTGCCTTCTAGCTTCATGCTAGAAGTTACCTAATTCCCCTGCATCACTAATATGACACACCTTAAGTGTTGCTGTGGGAGACAACAGATGGACTATGGTGGGGAAAGTGAAAGGCTCAGGGTGAGTTCTCTGCTGGTGTTAGCTACTACAGTCAATATTATTACCCCCTGAAACAATGACAATTCTCAAACCAAGTTATGYTATTTTTTGTCTTGGATAAATAGGAGGATAGATTATTTTTATCACCAACCATTTATATTCCTTCTGTCTACCTAAGCAAAGAGAACCTATATTTCAAATTCCAACTTGACCATGGAATACTCTAATTTGTGATGAATTGTATCCCCACAAAAGATATGCTTCACTCTGAACCACAAGTAACTCAGACCACATCTGGAAAAAAAGTCTTTACAAAGCAATCAAGCTAAATGTGATAACAGGGTAGGCTTTAATCCAATGTGAGTGGTGTCCTTAAAAAAGGAGCACAGACAAAAATACACAGAGGGAAGGCAGGGTGAAGACCCACAAGGTGAAGGCGGCCACATTTCTGGAGTGAGGCATGCACTAAGAACTCCCAGTGAACACCAAAAGCTAGAAGAGGCAGGAGACAGAGTTCTCATAGTTCCCATAGTTTTTGGAGAAAGAATGGACCTCCTCATGCTTTGATTTCAGTCCCCATCACTTTAAGACAATACATTTTGATTTTTCTAAGGCAACCAGTTTTTTGTACAGTGTGACGGCAATTCTAATAACACTAATACAGTATAAATACACTCCCTTTTAACTCTCATTGTCTCTCAACATCCTGCACCCTTGTTGTGTGTTGAGTTYATGGAGTCTTTAAAAACATACATGATTTTAAAGAGCTGAAAGGTGTATTATGGTTCTATAACTCCACAGTTGCTATGCTAGGACACAGTTATACTGAAGTGGAATTACCTATAATGGTGGTTTAAGCTACAGATTTCTAGGTTCCACTCATACTTAATAAACCAGAGTTCCCTAGGATGAGGAGTTTTCATAACTTATCAGGAAATCCTCATTTGTAGTTAAGCTCAGAAATTAGTGATTTAGCTCAATTCCTTCTTTGTCATTTGGGAAGTAGATGTTTAGAAGAATCCAAGGTCAAAAGTCCCACTGGTGACAAGGCACACTGGGGTCCCTCCATTACCAAGTCACTGTTACTGCAACTGTAAATGTGGCTTCTAAGAGTTGTTTTTTTTAAATATTTTAATTCATTTTTAAAAAATAAATGATAGCACAATGCATTACAATTCATATTAC